AAATCTAAAGTTACACGGGCCAAGTACTCTGCATTTAAGACTCAAGTCCCAAAAAATGTATTAACTTCACGTTAAACGTTTTTATGCTCAAGGTAAATTAATAAGAATGTACGAGGTAAGAGCAAAAAGAACTGTCAATTATGCAGCTTACATCAATAAAAGCAAATTCTGCTTCAAGAAACATAGCAACTTACATCCATGGCGGGATACTACAACTGAACAAGTGAAAAAGGAAAGATTATATAAAGTGAACACCATGCATATGAATCACATCGGTGTCTGCAGCATTAACGGTACGTTATCGCAAGCATGGACGAGAAACGAAACAAAACAAAATATTTATTGTATCTAAAAAAACTGCATTTAAATAATGTGGCACATAACTCGTAAATATACACTACACAACTATTTCCAGTTACGCAAATCCTTGGAACAACTTTCTTAGTATAGTAAGTATATGACAAGCCGTTCACACAAACTCGATTACCGGTCGATCGATACATACACCAGTGATTTCGTTTACTGCAGTCGAAAACAGTGGAAGCGTATCATGACACGGTACTAGCAGCTTAAACCAATAATTTAAGCAACTCGTTTGCGTGTTAAATAAATGAATGCAACGGCAGATGATATAAACAAACAGAATGACAAGAAAAACCGTTTTACAGAGAAAAACAAATAACCATAATAGTATTATTTATTAACCAGGATACGCTGAAACGGCGGCTTCATCCAATCTTCACTGAAATCAAGTCATCGGAATAGTAATAGAGTACTCTGCTGCGTGATCTGATCCGACAAAAATGTGCAATAAATTGACTGGAAGATAACATTTAAAATGTTGAGACGAGAACAAGAAGAAAATTGTAAACTAAAGCAACACGCATTTGCGGTTCTTCTTTTTCTTCACTTGAAGTGCAGCTCGAGTAGCGGTCTCGAAAACTTCACGTACACCCTGAAAGTATATGATATCATATCCTCTGTAATAAAAAACGAAATTTTTCAAATGCCATATAAATGAAACCCAATTTAACATGTCAACTTCTTCAACCATATGCAGAAACAAGAATCTCGATGGTGGTTCTTACTGAGAGTAGTGCACAGATTTCAACATTTGGGCGCTTGTTCTTCAAGGAAATAACTGAGGGGTTGCACTCAGACACGGAGTGCAGGACAAAAAGGAAAAAAAATATTAGGACAATCCCGTTTTTCCATACCGTTCACAGTAGACACCTCATAATTCGTGACCGGTTTAAACAGCCGGTAAGAAGAAAATCCATTACTGCTCAAATTATTCAGTCTGC